CATTATTTTCATCTTGAACAAAATAATTTACTAGCACTTCATTCTAGCATGTGGCCACTCAAATGAAGGGCGCCTATAATATTACAACACCTGCCAAATTAGGTGACCTTCAATAAGTAACACTCTATTATCAATGCAAGTGTAAAGTTGTGTTTTCTCTTATTAAATTCAAGCGTTTTTGTTTTAGACATTTTTATTATCGCTATTATATTTATTATGTGATAAAAATGAAAAGAACATTACATTATTGTGATTAAAAAGGGTTGAAAATTCATGCAATTAATAATGCATCTTTAGAAATAACTCTCAAACTGTCAAATATTTTTCCGTCATTTATGTGTAACCGATGTTCATATGTACATTCTGCCAATGAATCAATGATATCTAGAATATTTTTGTGCATAATTACAATTTTACTTCTGAAATTGCTGAGCTTTTCCTTCTTCGTTCAAACAGCATACATGTGTATAATGTTTTATGCGCAGATTAAACATATATGCGGTAGTTAAAACATCTTGATTTTGTGATTTTTTTTTTAATATCGTGATTCAATAGTGACGAATAAAAAGGGTAAAAAAAAAAAAGAACATTGATTGATCGGATAAAACGAACTGATAATCAGTTTTATCTTTTTTTAAAATAAAAAAGATGCATCCATTGAAGGAACTTTTTTGTGAATGAATCACATGCTCATTAAAGTGAGATTTTTGTCGCTTCCTTATATTACGTATGCAGTTGAAGATTTTATGATAGTCGGTAAAATATTCTTTAATTGACATCTTTATCACCCATTCGTGTTCTGTACTTTGAAAAAAAAGTCTTGGCTTGTTTCATGAACAGTGTAATGCTGATGGTTTACAAATCAATTTTAAAAGGGCAATTATCAATTTTATGCACCTGATCCCATCTCTTAGTATTTTTATTGGACCCCCGAGCTTGTATACTGTTCGTTATCTCCATATATTTTATTAATAATAAATGATACAACATCAATACTAATGAATGATGTACAAAATGCTTTTTAAAGTTATAATTATAAATGTATATTTTTTTTTTAGATAATCAAGGAAAATTAACTCATTTCTACCATAAAAAGTGCACTTTTAATTAATTTTTATCATGGAAAAAAGGCATTGCCAGACATTGATTATGAAATATTTTCGCAATTGAATATGAATTATTTAACGTAGTCTGGAATGTAAAAATGTTCCAGCAAAACCTTTATCATTAGCTTTAAATATAAGAAATTTAAAGGTTCAACGAAACATTTAATTATGTTTTACTGAAAAATAAAAATTCAAGTTAATTTCCTAAAAAATTAAGTTTAGGCTACATGCTTATTTAAATATCTGTTTTTAAATAGTTATGTTGCATAAATTTATTCGGACAATATATTTCATTTTGACGAAATATAATAGAAAATATTAGTGTGTTTGCATTTTTTGATCATTTTATTTTAATCTTTTTAATTCAAAATGATTTGGCAACAAATGAAATAAAATTGGAATTTCAGACACTCGACAAAGTTTTTTAATTCAAGTATCAAAATTATGAAACCATAGAAATATCAAAAATTGAAGTAATAGCTTTGAAAGTATTTACAAAAAAGCCATCAAAACAGTTATATATATTAACTATATGAAGGAAATGTGGAGAAAAAACTATGGGGTGACAACACATTGGCGGAAAAATGGTAAATATTTCACGGAAAAGGGGAAATGAAAATTATACAAATCTTTGATAAGTTCCAACATCATGGGGAACTCTAGGAAATAGAAATCATACGCACTTTGAACAAACTTCATCAATTCCATTTAAGTAGTTAAATATGTCCTAACAAAGGACAAAGAATCACGATTAAGAATATTGAATCTTAATTAGCAAAACGTGGGAAAAGCATCGTCCATATTTATAGTTTTGATTAAATGGATAGATAGCATTTTGGGTTTTCCATTGATCATTTTGTTTTTATACCCATCCTCTACATTAAAAAAATATCAAAGCAGAAATTTCATTTTACTTGTTTAAATATTTAGGGCCAATTGAAGAATTTAAAAACTGAGTAATTATGGAATAAAAATCGATGTAGAATATTTTTATCAAAATGTTCATACAAATCTCAAATGGTAGACTAAAATATTTTATTACCTACAAAAATAATAGATTATGATATATGTATCATTGCTGATCCCCTATCTGTCTTTATATTTCTTTTAAGGTTAGATTTTGCAAATATTTTTTTTGTATTTTCCTAACTCTACGTCATCTAATAACTTAAGAAATAAACTTAATAGTTTTCTAAGTTATACTGATATTACCTTTGCTGGAGCAATTTACACTTAATAAAATCCTTATTTTGTTCCAACACAGGCTAAACAGTTATAATAAGGGTACCTAAATTTATTCTTTTTCTATTTAATTTTCCATGATTGAGTATAGAAAAATACCGTCTTAAAGTTGAAAACAACTTCAAACTGTAAATATTTCAAATGTTAAAACAGGTGAATTATTACTTTTTTTTTTATTAAAGTCATTATGACATAAGCCACACGGGTTTTAATAAATTATTTTTTACCCAGTTCAAGGGGGCGTTTCAACTAAAATTAAATTATTCTATCTTAATTTAGGTTCTGAAATTCTTAGTTCAGAAATGTCCATTTATTAAAGGAATATACTTTTATGCTTGAACACGCTAGAAACCCCACTCAATATATAAAATTAAAAGAGTACGATAAATTAAGGAATAAATCATCTATATTTATTGGTATGTCATATATTATAATTTTGCGTTCAAAAAGACAATTATTGACTAAATATATGCTATAAGTATAAAGTGCTTACTAAGCATGTTAATTTCAACATCTTTAAGGAATTTGAATTACCCTTATGTAATTCTTTTCTACAAATTTGGTAACTTTGACAAATTATGCAATGTACTTGAAATCAGTATTTCAATCTAAATTGAACATAATTTGTTAATTTGCCAAACATACTTATCTTCCGTAATGACGAGCTTGTCATTTCATTGTTAAGAAGCTTCCTCATCGATTAATGAGTGTCTACTTTAGTTTCAATTGGGTAATTGTTGTCTAATTGACACTGCAGAGATGTGCACGTTTATCCCCAGGTACTACGAATGTAGTACATACAGCATACCCTCGCTATACTGGGGTGTTTCTTATTGCAAGCACCTGTGTGCATTTACTTTAACTGCCCGTTCTTTTATGAGTTTATATGAGTGTTTGTTGGGCATTCATATTTTTAACAAAAAATAGCTTCGTTTGTTTTAGCAAACTCAAAATGAATTAAACTAACAAAGAAGCATATGAAGATAACGAACAGTATTGAAGTACATAAAACAATACAAAAAAGGAGCAGGGCAAACACGGATCTCCAAAACGTCAGAGGTGGGATCAGGTAAAAAAAGATAAATCTTTCAACCATGAACTTGAAAAATTGCGAGATTGGTTGTAGGTGCTGTCGACTACTTTTTTTTGAAAAGAGAACATCTAAATTGGCTAATTGAACCCCTTTGAAATTTTTAGTAACATTTCACCAGTGAAGTATATTTATTGAATTAAAGTGTTTGAAGGAGTGAAAAATATTTAGCCACGTTGTGATAGAATATCTAGAAATGTTTATCTCATTGTGTTTGCTTGTTGTTTAACATCTGGTTCTAGCATTATTCACTCGTATTGTGACGCCACCTCTTGCCGAAGGAGAGCTCACATTTTGACCTATACTTGGCACTCAGGTTCATTCAGCATTGGGGGACCTTTTTCGTGCCAGCTCCTCGATCCCCCCCCCCCCCCCCGGTACTACCTGTGTTACCTGTTACAAAATCTAAGGAGAAAACCTTAACATCCAAACAAAGAATAAAACTGAAAACATTGAAATTGGTGTTTGCTTAAATAATAAAACAAAATGCTTTCTTTGGTTGTTAGTACGAAGATTAATGTCGCAGGTGTTGCAGAAAAATACATAAACCGCTTTCTTAGGGAGTATTTTTTCTGGAATAACATTAATTCCCGAACAAACATATAAAGAAAGGCAATTTATTGTTTATATTTACATCTGTATGAAAAAAACCATTCAAAGTAAAATTAAATAGATCAGTATTGTATCATAGATGAATATGTCATCGTACGCATAACTATAACTGATGGAACAACAATTGTTCAAGAAATCTACATACGTGACTTGCTTAGTGTTGTTTTTGCCCTAATTAATGGCAATGATCATAAGAAATAAAAAAAAATATTCAGTGGATGTAAATATTAGTTCCAAATACAAATTATCGATTATCCTTTAGCGAAGTACATGTATTATAATATATTGATAAAGGGCGGAGAAGAAATTGACTCCCATAATTTCGGGGGATTTTTTCCCAATCATATATTTTTTTTACTCCAATCTTTCAATTTTTACTGTTTGTCCTTTCAAAGTAAGTTATGATCAAAGAATAGCTTTGCTTCGGTTTGAAGATTAAAGTCTATGTTTATCACGTCATCGAACAAGGAAGGAATAACAGTAAACCCATTACATAAGAGAGTCCTATACTTCACTGTATTCTAATTAAGTCAAACTCTACTTGTCATGAAATTTCTGTTGTAAAATATTTTAATTGAGAGACATTTCAAAAAGTGTAAACTCCTAAACTCATCTTTTTTTATGTTTTGTCTTGATTGATTTTAAAATTTTATCACTTTTTTCGTATTTATTTGCTTGGAAATTTCACATTTCATTCCTCACTGCAAAATCTCACTTAAAATGCAGTCTTGTTCAGGAATTTTGAATTTCTCATCAAGTTTTGCTGATAGTCCGTGGGTTTGTGTTTACAGTAAATAATGACGTCATGATAGCATTAAGAAGGAGAAAGGAAGAAAAATCTTCTTGATGAAAACAAATTTTTGTCTCGTTTAGCAAAATCCCCCTGTAATTGTTTAAAAAGAGGGTTAACTAGGGGCAATACAGACACTTTACACACAAAAACCCGAATACGGAAGAGAATATTGAGTTCGTCCTCTTAAACTAAAAAGAGCACGGGACAATTTTATAGATATACAAAGTCTATCTTTATCATATAAAGACTAAAGATGGTTTTGCTGGATTCATCACTCGGTAGGTTTTATTTTTGCAATTATCTATTTGAATCTGGAAAATCCTTTTTACGGGCAAGCAAACCTAAATTAGGAGGTAAATGATTCTTAAACGCAATACATTGATTAAACCTGTATTTTTGGATAATAAATGCTCAAGAATATCTTAAATATATCAATTAAAAAGGAATTTTTCTGTCTGGAAAACAAATGTTTAATCGTCATAAATTTCTAATGAATTTCGTGAATATTTGTGGAGAAAATACACGATGTACTAATGGATACAAAGAATTTTATAAATACTTTATGCTCGTTTACATGGTGTTCAGGACGATCTAGCTTGTGTTTTAAAGATAGCTCTTTAATGATGGTCATGTAAACAGGTGGTCTAATTTGGCCGTGTTCCACGGTTACAGCGAATGACACAGGCTAGCACCTCGACTAAAATTCTTCTTCAAAGAAACCGTGTTATTTTGGTCCCTTTTGCTAATTTTTGATTCAGTCAAAAATTAAAAAGAATGCTTAATTAAAGGGAAAGCGGAAAATATGGAAGTGCACGTGTCCCTTCTCGACTTAGTGGTACACGTGTGCGTTTTATTAACATTTCGACGCTTCACTTGTTTGCCCTAGAGAATATGTGTTCGACAGATTGTAACTGAACTGAAATATTCTACTACTATATTGGGAAGAAATCTTTTTGAAGAGAAATGTAAGTCATTCCATGATAATTTATCATGAAATGCGTCGCTTACTTTTGTTTTGCGTACTTGGATATATATATCTCAGGCTCATTGTTGCCTTAAGACCACACCTATCGAGGCGAATCAGGACGTAATACACTGTGCCTTCTACCAATGGTATAAACTTATTTTTCTCTCGAGATGATTGAATTTTTTTTTCCCAAAAAACAATTCCAGACTAGGGTACAATTTGAATTCCATTTCTGAAGACTCTTTACAGGTCAAAAGCGTTGAATTTTACCTTACGCATTTGCATAAAAAGGGCAAAAGATCGACTGTTGGAAGGACGATAAACGCACTTTTGAAATCTTTAATACTTTATTGATTGAAATTGGCTGTGTATAGAGAGATAATTAAAAAGTACTTTTGTAAGGATAATCGATTATAGTAATTTCTAATAATTCCAATCGTGTTTTGAGTGAACGAGGACAAATTAAAGAAAAAGTTTACACATCAAAAAATTTTTCAGTCAACACTTCTTTCTTGCCCTAGCTTTTAGGAAGTTGATGAAACAAGAATATCAGCTAGCAGTCTCGTTTAAAGACATAATTTCTTAAGTTTTATGGTCGACGTAATGACTTGTTAGCAAATGCAATTTATCACTGAGTCAAATGCTGACTGACGTTTTTCATACTAATTGTTAGTCCATTATTTACACACTGAGTTGATGACGGATTATCCATTACTTCCCGATCATGACAAGGAGCACACAACAGGTGTGAGCAGGCGTTGCTCACTCCTCCATGGCGGGTTTGACCGATAACATGGGCTACTTACTCCTCCATGGCACCTGAACCAATCCTCTATATATTTTAAGCTCCGTGTTTGCTCTGCTCCTAATACATGTTGTTTGAGTGGACTTTTGAGCTTGAATAATGCTCTTATCCTCCATATTTTATACACTAGGTATTTGAATGACATAAAAAAGTCCCTAATATATAAAGATAAACATAAAGTTTCCTGTGTTGCTTGAATCTGAAATTCCTTTGCCGTTATCTTTGCATATTTATTTTAAAACATATTTACACACATTTTTAAACATTGTTATATTTTTACCGTTTTCCCGCTTACCTTTACAAATATTATCGAGTTAATCTCCTGAAAGTAAATCTATGACCGAAAAAAAAGACAAATTAATTTTCGTTATCTTTTTCAATGGAATCCATGATTAGAGTTGCTTAGTAATTTTTATTTATTACCAGAAGATCAACATATTAAATTACATTATCGAAAGTCTTTAGTTTTGTGCATACTTTTAAAAGTCCATCCCCCAGTAAACGACCCATTTACGTTGACCGCTGTAAACTCAGATAATGCGTATATAAAAATAATCCAGGAAGTAGAGAATGAGAGAGGGCGGTAGATAATTGATACAACTTCTATCTATAGTATTACACAATCCAGGTTACTTTATTTACCATATGGGAATCGATCGTAATTTCTCTTGATAGAGATATGTAGAAAACAACTTAAAGCCAAAATATCCCCTCCGAAATAGCAATAAGTATTTAAACATTGTTTTAAAATGGTTAGTTTTTTTAATACTGTATGAGGTTTATGAAAAAAAAAACAAAGGTAACAAACAATAATCGTTCTGAAAAAAAATCAGACAATGAAATCTTGTGAACAGGGCATAGCCACTTACCCCTGGATATTTCAAAGGTGGGATAAGATACCCAGGAGGAGTAAACATCCCCGGTTAATTGGTTAGACCCGACGTGAGCCTTTTGGCGCTTAGTACTAAATTCATTAATTAAAATATTCAATTATTTCAATTGTAAACAAAAATAAAGATAATGAACTTTTTAGAATTTGTTCTTTTTTATATGATACGGTTTTTATAGTATAAGTCAAGTTATTAATGGTTCCTTGTTCTATTTTTGAATTGCTAGATACAGATAAGGAGGACAGGAACTTCATGTCTTTCTGTTTCTCTTAAGATATCAGTACACTGTATCTATTTTAAGAAGAATTCAAGGTAAGGGGTTAAAGGTCAGTAGGTAACCTTGAGAGATTACAGTGCTGGGATTGTACTCAAGTTTTCTAAATCGAACATTTCTTGTGGGTAAGAACCTTTTCCATGAAGCAATGGTCATATCCACTGCTAATATTGTCGTCCATCTTAAGTTATTGCCTCCGGCTATAAAAGGTGTTTAGAAGAGCTTAAATTTTCTTCCTAGACATTGGGAATGTACAGAATGATAATAAATTACGACATATATGTATATCGTTGACGACGCCAATGCTTACCATCACAAGGTGGCATATAGTTGCAATCAGATGAATTTTGGAATTTTCTTACGAAAGAAAAAATAATATTTGAAAAAGTTACAAGTTTGTCTTCGATTGAAATTGTGCAACTAAAGCTAAACGCATGTCCTTCAAATTAATGCATAGTCTTACATCTTATGATTGGGAACAATGATTTTTTACGTTTTAATGTTCCTGGAATTCTTGGAACGATAACGTGAAAAGAAGAAAACACTTGCTCCGGCCTTTAACTCGACATTCTAAAATATTGACGACGTATTGTCAATTAACAGTTATTACTTTAATTCTTATGTCGTTACGATATATCCCGGTGAGCTCGAAATAAAAGATACCACAGGGTCTGGCAGATCTGTTTTCATATTTAGAAATTTTACTTGAAAAAGACGTTAGTGTTATATAACCACAAAACTCTATGATGAACGTGTTGACTTTAATTTTTCAATAATTAACGTCCCTTACTTATTCAGCAATATAACTTCTTCATCTGTCTACGGGGTTCATAGCTTTCGGTTGATGCTCTACGAATAAAAAATTTCTAAAACAAGATAATTTTTTGAAAAAAAAAGTTGCTTTGACAAGAATATCAGCAGTCTCGTTTAAAGTCATTATTTTGTAAGTTTTTATGGTCGATGACCTTGTCCGCAAATACAATTTACTATTAAGTCAAATGCTGATTGACTTTTTACACAGTGTTTGTTATGACATTATATACCAAATGAATTGTCTACAGATTTTTCTGTAATATCCCGATCATTACTAGGAGCACACGGGGGTATAACCAGTCGACAGATATGCTCACTTCTCCATGGCACCTGATCCCACCTCTGATGTTTTGGATCACCATATAAATCATTTTGTATGAATATAAATCATTTTGTATGAACGCTAGACAAATCTGAGTAAATTTTCATATTGTTGATAATTCGGTCATACAAGAAGTACAATTACTGAATGAAAAAAATGACCGAATTAGGAGTGAGATGAAGATATGTCTGAATTGACATGTAGTAACTGAATAGGAAGATAATGACTGAAAGAGGGCCTTTTTATGTGAATCGAACTTTCACTGACACAAGCACTAGCGGTAGACACCAAGTCCTTCACTGAATTGTCTCATCTCAGTATTCCCCCTCAGAACAATTTAATACACAAGTGCTCAACTTGAGCGTCAACTTCCATTCATCTTACAGCTTTCCCGCCTTGATATAATAGAAATTATTTATTTTACTATCTTTAGAAACCTAATGGTTTATAAATCTTCAAGTACACATGGCTATCGATTTAAATATTTTCGGGACATGAAATGCACTGCTACAGTAAAACAATAACAGATACCGTCGTCTTAATGGTCTTTTCGTTATTATATTTTTACACATGCTTATATTAAATACCTCGGGTGTTCTTCCTTTAATTTTTGTAAGATAATTTTTCATTTCCGTGTTGTTATATCGTTTTCGAGTAAAGTGCCCTTTGATATTTAGACCATGAAAATGACATCATGATGCATTTCTGTTATTCAACTGATGTAATAAACTTACAGCTTTGTGCAATGTCATAGATATTAATAAGGAAATGTATATTAAATTCCTGTATAAAACCACATTTAATATTAATCAAAGTAAAAATTATTTGTCCCTTGAGCAAATATCCTTTTTGTGTACTTTATGTCTAAAATTATTTGGAATTAAGTTTTCAATATGTAAGAAGAAACAATTATTATTATATCATCCGGTGAGTGATTATGTTTTTTTCACGAAGTGCACAGAATTAAACAGAGCATGAAAAGTTAAATTTAAAACAAAAAATATGCAGGGTTTTTTTATATCTTTAAAATACCTTTCGGAAAAGAGCAAACACCATAAACATTTTCTACCAGTTTAAACAACAGGTTTAAATTTCTTTATCTCTGCACTCTGTGATATATGATAAAAATCCTTTCATCAAAGTTTCAATCGATGATACAAACATATAAGCTAGTCTATATATCAAGGCTTACTTACTTCTGACTTAT